GGATCTGGCCCGCGGGCCGTAGTTTGGGGACCCCTGCCTTAAGACATCAAAAAAATAAATAAATAAATTGTGAAAACCTTGAAAGTCCTCTTCATCCAAATGCTTTACAACAGTGTGTCTTAAGTCAGATGCTTCTTAAGACCGCTGTAACACTGACAGCAACAGGAGATCCTGCCTAACATCACCAGGACCTACAGCTCTCGGAAGAACTTTGGATAATATGCATTGCAACATTTAATTTCCGTCTACAATTAATAAAATATTTTGAATTGAAATTTAAATCATATCAATATTCGATTGTGCCAGAATTATATGAAAAAGGCTGCAAAAATCCTCAGACAATAATTTACAATTAATAAAAGATATATGTGATTTTATGATGTTTTATTTCCAAGATACAGATAAGATATATGAACCGACTCGGCGGCGAAATTCTTGGTAAAGTTTACCAAACAGTCGCGCATAAGCGCTGGGCCGCAGCGACGCTTCCCTCGCGTCTGATTGGTCGGAACCCCGAAGTTTTCGCGCCAACGCAATGCATTGTGGGTAATGGTGGCGGAAGTTGTCGTTCGTGGATGTTGTTGGTGGTGTCTGCGCCGTGTCTCGGTCTTTAACTTTCGCCCGTGGGAGGGGGATTTGCGGTGGGAACCGCGGCCGTGTGTCAGCGTGTGAATGCGGGGCGAAGAGTCGTCGGATTCCGAGTCGGGGAGGATGGAGGAGAGTTCGGTCCGGAGGAGTTTGGAGACTTTGTGTCAAGAACTGAACATGGACGAGCAGACCGCAGCTGAAGCCATGGACAACTTCACAGCAATATGGAATACATACACGCTGGAGGTGAGAAAAAGCGCCCCGTTTCTGCTGAATCAGCCGGCCTGCTGCTAAAAACTAACTTTAACTGCTCCGGGGACTCCGACCAGGTCTGTAGGGAAACCCCGACCGAGTGACACAAACCCGGGGTTAAAGGGCTGGGGCGACCCGCTCCCCTTGGTCGGTCAGGGCTGAGAAACGGATGTGTTTACCTGGGTCGCCTCTTAAAGTCGACTGAATGTCGAGCTTCACCAGTTTGAACTTGATAAACTAAGACACAAAGTAAAAATCTATAGGAAATAAATTGAAATATTTCAGCAAACAAGTAAAATGAATGAGGTCAAAATCAGATAATTGTAAACAACTTTTACAATATTACTGATATTATTTTGTTTTTATCCACACCGGTATATAACCTTCATTTATATTGATATTCATTGCACTCATTCATATATGTGTAATCCAGGCAGGTCAGCGTCATGTCCCATATGCCACATACTACAAGTTTAATAATATATAATCCATAAAGACCACAAGCAAATCTATATGTTGCTTATCTTGTGGGTTTGCTATTTCAGCTAAAAAATAACTTATTACAATAAAAAAACATTAAATATAAGCAGTAAACGGGGAACTTATATTTGATGCTTTTCTTTTTTGCTAAGCCAGAAGCTCAGTAGGACAGTGGATTATTGTTTATTAGGTTTTGTATTCCTGCTCTGGGTTTTTCCACAACAATCCTGAGATTAGGAGAAATAAATAATCACACCATAGCAATCATTTTTAAACCACAGTGACTTGTGTAAAATTATTTTTCTGAGGTTAAAAACAATTTTCAAGACTAAAATGAAGTAAAAATGACACTTCTTTCTGATCAAGTCACATATAGACTTTCTGTGCTGACCATGATTTCTGCTGCTGTGTCTCCAGGGAGAGGTGGTCCACTGGCTGGCCTGTGCGCTGTACGCGGCCTGCAGGAAGGGCTCCACTCCCACCGTGGGGAAGGGGCTGATGGAGGGGAACTGTGTCTCGCTCACCAGGATCCTGCGCTGCGCCAAGCTGAGGTCAGACGCTTCCTGCATCACAAAGATGCTGAAATTACAAAATTCACTCCAAGTTTTTTCTTTGTCAGATTTTTCTTTTCTTTTTTTGCTCTGCTTATTTTACATTTTTAATAATTTCAAGCTGTTGGCCAACGTCTCTGTCCAGCAGAGGGCAGTGTTCATGAAACCTGCTTTCAAACCTTTATTGAGGAAATTAGTTTTTATTTAATCATGAATATTAACATGTTTCACACTGAACTTTAAACATAGTAGATAAAAAGTTTATAGGTGCAAATATGACATCAAACTGCTTTTATTACCAAAACCTGCAGCCATCCCGTTTCTTCCAGTCTTCATCATCGTCATCAGATTCCAGTTTTTTGTGGAAATTCACACAAAATCAACATTTCCTCATCATTTAATGCAAAATAATTGATTGTTTAATTGTTTGTTTATTGCAAATTTTCAGCAAAAATGGTCAAAAGCATTTTGTGCAAGTGATGCTAATTCCCACCAGCAGGGGGAAGTATTCCTTACTGCTGCCTCACCCTCAATTAATGTAAAGNTAGTTAACATTTTTAACTGAATAAACATAATAATGACCTTTACATATAATAATAAACATTTCCACATATCATCTCCGATATCCACCGGACTCTCAGTTGCGCGATATGTCAGCTGTTTGGGATTCCCCTCTGTTCTGACGTCACCGCGCTTTCTGATTGGCTACCTGTCACATTCAGCAGGTTGTGTTCTCGTTCCCAGTCAGGGAAAACCCCACAGGCTGCGATAAAAGCGCCAAGACAACCCAAACTGGGTATGTTCAGGATTTAGTGGCAACACCAACGTGCAGAAGCCTTATCTGACAGTTCAACACCCCTTGCCCCCCCTCCCTCTCCCGGTCCGCAGCAAAATTTTCCAA